CTTTCTTCTATTTTTTCCCCAAATCCTAAAAATATAAATCACACCAGGAACGCTGGTGTGATTCAATCAACTCTCAACAGAAACGCATCCACCATAGATTTCTTTATCATGTTTCTACAATTTCATCAATGCAACAAAACCTAAACCGCGCGTTGAAGGGTGGTGAAGTGGTGCGGGGTGAGAACGTTCACTGCTCATCCCTAAACCTCATGCTGATGTGACATTTTCTCCAGGATAAACATTTAATAAAGAATGTTTATCATATATTTAAGCCCTCATAGCCCTTTTCTATAGTGGAATAAATACACTTAGAGCCCGTGTTGCCATACGAGCCATATATATATATAAGACTTTTACATTTTTGCAACTCCAGACAGATTTATTTTTTGGTCCAATATGGCTCTTCGAGCAGTTTGGGTTGACGACAACTGCTCTAGACCTTGGGGTGTAACACTGTCACTCAAGAAAATGTGTTGCTAGCCAAAAGTTCCAGGTCTGGGTGGATGACTGAGTGCTGACAGGGACACTTGCAGTCAGTGGCATGTCAAAAGAAAAGACCAATTTGAACCATTCAATTTAATAAACCAGCAACCATAGATCAAACAGCTTTAAACTTCATTAAAAAAATTTTTTTAAAGCATTGCTGAAATCAAAACGAACAGACTCAAACTTTTACCATTTCTGTTCGGAAAGCCATCTCCTTCTCCAGGTTTGACAGATGGGAAAAGTGCCTGTCATTCTCAAAGAGCTGAGACAGATGGTACCTATCCACAAGGGAAGAGAAGAAGTGTGAAAACAAAGGAGGGGAAAGCAGAACATCAGTATATAACACAGTAGTTTCAGCACTACAGCTCACCAGTGCAGATATCCAGTCAGCCCAGCTGAGGAGAGACAGATTTTAAACTTTAAATGTTCTGCTTTGCAACCGTTTCCTCTTGACATAAAAAAACACACAGATAACGATTCAAATATGACTGAATAATATCCTGTTTGGTTTTTAAATAGATACCAAAGAGTTGACTTAATGTGGAAGGATGTTAACACGTGACTAATTGGTGAATAACACAAGCAAAAGAGAGTTTGTAATGAGAGGGTCCACGATAACGACCACCAGAGAGCTAGCTAAGCTAACAGTTAGCCCAGTGATGGTTAACAGATAATTTCCCAGGTTTACCGCTATAACGGCGTCACTTTACCAGTTAGCCCGCGTTAGCTTGGGGTTTCTGGGCATGCTAGTGGGTTAAAGCTCAGAACTTACCAAGTAGCACCGTGACACCCAGCTTCCAGACCGAGCAAGAAGTTAGCCCGAGCTTGTGCCCGATTCCTGCCAGCCCGTTTGGGTGAGAGAAAGCCTTGCTCTCCCTGCCTGGTCGCCGTATGTTACTTTTGCTGTGAGGTGAAACATGGTGAAGGTTTCTATCGCGCTCGGTCTGGGTCTGACCCGGACTCTTCCCGATCTGTTTCCTGGTTTTAGCCACCATGGTTTTCAGAGCGGAGGTTCGGGGAGCGAGCTGGAAGAGCAGAAGGGTGTGCGAGCAAAACAGCTCGTCTCCTATCTGCTCCTCAGATCTGCTTTACTACCTGAGAGATGCTGCGACGAGTGACTCGGTGCAATTTTAGTAAAGCTGCGCCCTCTGGTGGACATGAAACAACACTACAGTGAAATTGTAAGAGCTGTAGCCATGGCAACACATAGGCACGAATTCCAGTTGGCGTCAGGGGCGGAGCTAGATTGGGGGCCCTGGGGCGCCCATGGCCAATCTGTGGCCACCCCTACCATTTTGTCCCTCTAATACAGATGGTGGCAGCAGTAATACTTTCAAGTGGAATATTTAAAACATTTAAATTTTTCATATAGTATCAATTACTTGACAACAAAAAGTGCTGTGGTTAATTATGCATATCAATGTACTGATATTAAAAATGATAAGTACATAATTCCTGCTCTTTTCAGAACTAGATTTTGTGTTTTATGGGGTAAAGAGAGAATTATGTGTCTCTGCAAGTCATTTAGGAGTCTTCAGTAAAATCATAGATAAATAACTATTTTAGTAAAAATGTATTAAATAAATAATTTATGTAGATACTAGTACTTGTAAATATCAATTGTATGCATAATTATTATTGATAATAGTAGGTGAGTAATGACAAAGGAGAAGATGTTCGCCCAAAACTCAAACCTGAAAGAATTGTTTCCACTATACCTTTAAACTAGAAAGCTCAAATGTTGAAATACATGAGTCTATTTGTTAGGAAAGGCTGTAGGAAAGTATAGTTAGTCTTTGTTTAGAAAATATGGATGTTGTGCTTGTTAATTTTCCTGTTGGAACAGTGTAGATTGACCCTGAGGTTCTGGCGCCTATCCACCTTCGGCCACCCCTCAGTGTACATTGGTTTTCACCTGGCCATCCTTATAAAAACTTTCTGGCTACGCCTCTGGTTGGTGTGTCTCCCTACAGATAACTTTGGGTGGTCTAGACAGGGACAGAGGTAGATGGGGGGCCAGGGGTGGCCTTGACCCCCCTTAGCCAATCATTGGCCACCCCTGTGGCCACACCTACCATTTCTTCCGTCTAATACTGATGTTGGTAGCAGTAACACTCTTAAGTGAAATATTCAAAACATTTTAATTTTCATACATTAACAATTACTTGACAACAAAAGCACTGTTAATTATGCATATCAATGTACTAATATTAAAGATAAGTACAGAATTTCTGCTCTTTTCAGAACTAGAGTTTTTGTTATATGGGGTAAAGAATAAATTATATCTCTGCAAGTCATCTAAGAGTCTTCAGTAAAATCATAAATAAATAAGTAGTTTAGTAAAAATGTATTAAATAATCAATTTATGTAGATATTAGTACTTGTAAATATCAATTTTATGCATGATGATTATTTATAAAAGTAGGTAAGTAATGACAAAGGAGAAGATGTTCACCCAAAACTCAAACCTGAAAGAATTGTTTCCACTGTACCTTTAATCTAGAAAGTAAACATTGGTATTTCCAATAACAGTATGTCGGGGAAAGAATATCTTTCAAACTTTTTTATTCTGTTGGCAAAGTTCCACATACATGCCTATAAATTTGCTAAAAACAAACCCAACCTCACTGTTTTTAGAGCTTATGTAAGATTTTTTTTGGACTCCTTAAAAATGTGCACCAAATCTAAAGCTTTGAAACTTAAAACCCTAAGTGAAGCAGTTCATTTGTAAACTGTTTTTTGTTTTTTTTTTTGTTTTTTCTCTCTCGTTTTTTGTCATGGAATCCTGTGGATTTGTTATCCCACACCTACGACTGTTTGCAATATATTCAGTATATTCTGTATTTATAAATAAATAAATAAAAAAAAAAACTGCAGATAACTTATGCCGGAAAAAAGAAGTGACAACGTAAAAAAACCCATAAGTTTAGAGCATTTTCTTAAATATACCGTAATGAAACGGATGTTGCCATGAATTGAGGTGTTTAAATTGAGCAAGTTTGTTTTTTCTCCTTTTTTATTAAATACTCTGCTGTTTTTATGCACATTTATGCTCATAATTCCCTTTCAAACCTAAATAGCTTCTCTTTTTTAGTCTGTATGGATTTTTCCATTGCACTTATTTATTCTGCTGTGAACTTCTTCCCCTACTTGCTACTGATACACCTACATTTCCTCAGGGAAAGGACAACTCTATTTATATTCAATATTGAAAGCGAAAAATTTACAAAAATCAGAGTATTATAAAAAACATTAAAGCAACAACAGCAAAAAGAAACATTTTACACATAGTGAAAATGTATGGAAATCCAACAGTGTGTGGTCTCAGACAGCTTGTAAATACCAGTTCGAAGTAGAAAGAAAACCAGGAAAGAAAAAAAGGACAATAGTTTATCATTTGAAATATACTAAGAAAGCCTCAGAACCAAGAACAAACAAAACAAAAAAAACACTTGCAAATCATTCTGCATTGAATAAAGAGAAATTTATATAACGTTTAGTTCAATTAAAACTTGAAGTCGTTCCAATCGAAAACTGATATTTTTGATTTGAAAATCGGAATTTTATTTACCTAAAACTGAAAGAAAATCTATCACTTTCCGTGGAAAAATAAGGAACTGAAATATTTTTTAGTGGCTGAAAACATTCTACCGGTACTAAGAAATAAAACAATCAAAAATAAAAAAAAAGCAAAGATAATAATATTCTTCTGGCAGACACAGCTTATTAGAAATATAATGTCCTATTTACACTTCCTTCTAGGTTAGTGACCATTCCCACTTTTTTCAATCCAGTTACAAAAAAACAAAAATCAATCAATAAATAAAATTAAAATTAATAAAAATCATCATGCAGTAGCAAATCTGACCAGTAGATGTTACTGCAGGACTATAATCTTTTCCTTTAGCTGCTAAAGTGTAGCTAATGGTTTTAATTGTATTCTTGAATGAACTGGCATGTTCTCATGTTCCTTTTCTTAACCAATACAAAATAAATAGAATAGTGTATAGATACACCACTAAATGGCATTTGAGAGGGCAGACTATTTCAGAAATAACATTTACTACAGTGTTCAGAGAAGTGAAACCTGCCCATCTTTTCCTATTGCGTTAACAGACATTTAAATGTCAGGAAATATGAGTTCATCTGCTCTGTTTTTTTGGTCTTGGGGAGCAAAACTATCACAGCTGGAATAGTGTGTTAATTTAGATTTTTATTAAAAGGTTAAAATCATCAATTTTTTTCTGGGATTAGATTTTTCAGTTCCTTCTTAAGGCTACAGCTAATAAAAGAGTGTGTCACAAATTTAAGACAGCATAGAAATGTGCTTTAGTTTGTGGCCTGTATATGCTGTGCTTCAACAAAGTCTTTAATCAAAATTTTCTCTTGCTCTATTTTTCTTTTAATTTACTGCATAGACTGTACAGCTATACAAAAGTAAGAACCACTTACATTTGAAAATGCAAACATAATTGTGCAAATGTTTTGTTCTTATTTCAAGTTTGGCACTTACCGGTATGTATTTTAAACATTCACAAAAAGCAAACAAGATATTTTCATTTTTATACCTTTACACCTTATAAACCCTATGAACCTTATATTGTGATTTTTTTTGTTTGTTTTGTTTTATTGATTAAATAGTTCTTAACTGATCCAGCCTGCAAAATCATGTCTATTAACTGATTATACTAACTTATCTGAATCTGACATTATAGCATCATTACAGGGAGAGAAAGAACAACTGGTATATACAAACAACAATCTTAAACATTATTTCAGGATAGTTTTCCATCTTGTTTTGTTGTTAGCCATCAGGTGCCACAAAATATCAAACATTTTGACATTCCACCATAGAAAATAAGATTGGATGTATGAAGATAAAGAGAAAAATGTCAAAAAGACAATGGATTTATTAAGAGTATCCTCAGTATCATTTGTGCCGTACTGCCAAATGATCCACTCAGTCCTTTCTTCCCTCATATATTTTTTAGATATTGCACAAATTATCTTTGCAAGTAACATGTGTGATGTGTAATAAATAATAACATTGTTTAAAAAAAAAACATCATAAGTTCAGAAATTGAATAATTGAGTAGCAGACAGACCCCAAAACAGCAGAATTCCTTAATTAAAACCCTAAAAAAGTGGAAACCAAAACCTACAAAAACTAAGTTTTTTCTAAGCTTGTTTCTATTAAGGTTAAATTTTTAGAGCCTTTTGCCTGATTTCAAGTCTTTATTTTGTACAAAACTTTGATCCGAGGACGTTGATTTTAGTAAATACTGATTTCTCTTCAGGAGCTACAATTAAAATGAAAACTGTTCTTTATAACCTTCCCACTAATAACAATATATTATCCATTCAGTGAGATGGTTGTCAATAAAAAACAGGGTCTCACTATTTAAAAGGATTTGGAATCATTTAAAAGCAAAAAGTTACAGTTTGTTATTATAATGCAGAAACTAAAAGACACAACCATGTCTGAGAGTTTTCAATAAGATTCAAACATTTCCAGATCTAACATGCTCCAAGACGTAAATGGGTTACAAGCTCCAAACACTTCTTACATCCTTCCTGTTACCTGCTAAAAGTCCTGCTCTCTCTCAGTTGAGATATATGCTTTCTGGACATGCCACAGTAAATAGTTTCCTTTAAAATTAAAGAAATCATACTTAAAATATTTTTTTTATAACTTGCTGGTGAATATTTCCAGTCATCCAAGTCGCAGTCATTCCAAAAGAGTTAAAAAACAATCTGCAAGACTTTGTTTCCAAGTTTGAAGATGTTTCGCTTCCCATCCAGGAAGCTTTTTTTAATTAGAATTGTCAGCAATAGAGCTGTGTTGGCTTTATAGGGTGGACCAAAGCACTTGTACAGTTAAAACTTGTAACAAGAATCAAACATCTGGAACGTAAAAATAGAACCTACCATGATGTCAATATCCATGTCAACTTGAATTAAATACAGATGCCTTGATCTAAAGTGCTTTACACAGCATCAAGGAAATCTCTCCTTCTCTCTCTCTCATAGAATCCCCCCCAACCCAACCCCCATACACACACGCACACACACACACACACACACACACACACACACACACACACACATCTGGTTCTCTA